TACGGCCAAGCATTGCTAAAGATGGCCACGTATCAAGTTGACTATCAGTGGTTAGTTTTACTATTTTGCAAAGACATAACACTTAAAAACTTTATTTCGTTGATCTGTATATTATGATTGTATATTTTTTTAGGGCTTATTCTATAATGGATTCATCCAGGATATCCACTTTCCTAATTTCAATTCTACTGATAGTCTACGGCAGTTTCCGATCCTTAAATATGGAACAGGAAGCAAAAGAAAGAGAAAAAGAAAGGCAACGTAATGGAATGTCGAGTAATAGTAGTACTGGAAACAAAGGTGGTGCTAACGGAGCAAGAATCCAAACCTTAGATACAATGCATGCTCTCTGTCTACCTCTTGGTGCTTCCATTTCTCTACTCGTCATGTTTTTCTTTTTTGATAGCATGCAAATGCTCTTAGCAATATGTACAGCCAGTAAGTTTATGAATAGTTATCTCAAAAAAAGTTCATCATCTGTTATTATAGAATGATAATGGAAAATATATACTATTTATATTTACAGTCATAGCTACAGTTGCTTTGGCATTTCTTCTACTACCCATGTGTCAATATATAATTAGACCCTGCACAGATGGAAATAAAATATCCTTTGGCATTTGTGGAAGATTTACAGGAGCAGAATTACTTTCATTTTCACTCAGTGTGAGCATAGTATGTGTATGGGTACTGACAGGACATTGGTTACTCATGGATGCAATGGGCATGGGCCTTTGTGTAGCCTTCATTGCATTTGTTCGATTACCAAGTTTAAAAGTATCTACTTTGCTATTAACTGGACTTTTGATTTATGATGTTTTCTGGGTCTTCTTTTCATCTTATATATTTAGTACAAACGTAATGGTTAAGGTGAGTCATTATGTTATTATTTTATCTTAATAATCGAATTTGCATGATTTTTACATAATCAAAGAAGTATAGATTTCTCAAATCAAATAGTATAAATTTTCCAAATGTTTTTCAAAGGGATATAATTTTAGATATTACTTTTCATAGGTAGCAACTAGACCTGCTGATAATCCAGTAAGTCTTGTCGCCAAAAGATTGCACTTAGGTGGTGTAGCTAGGGAGGCTCCAAAACTTCCTCTACCAGGAAAGCTGATGTTTCCTTCGATGCATCAAGCGGGACATTTTTCAATGCTAGGTCTTGGTGATATCGTTATGCCAGGTCTTTTACTCTGCTTTGTGTTAAGATATGATGCATATAAAAAGAGTCAGCTCTTGCCTGGTGGTTGTGAAACAGGAGTTCCACCACCACGACACTTCAATCGTATTAGTTATTTTCATTGCTCCTTAATTGGCTATTTTCTTGGTTTACTCACTGCTACTGTAAGCTCTGAGGTGTTCAAAGCTGCACAGCCTGCCTTATTGTATCTTGTGCCCTTTACCCTTCTGCCACTACTGACAATGGCTTATTTAAAGGTACATTTTAAGCACATAATTTTTTCCATGTTTTATCGCAAAATATAAGTTCGCATATTATAGATATATAGATATGTATATATATATACATATATATATACGTATATATACTTCAGATTTAAATCATAATGTTTTAGGGGGATTTGCGTCGGATGTGGAGTGAACCATTCATATCTCAACAACCTTCTATATATATGGAAGTTTGACAAGAGTCATGGCTCTTGAGAAATTATAACACAAGATTCATTGTCATTTAAAATTTTTAGTTCTGGTCTTTGTCAGTATCACTTTAAGTAAGTAAGAGTTTCCATACATGACACATTCACAGTTTTTTAATATCATTGATTCATAAAAAAGCAAATACATGTTCGAATATTAACCAGGACATTACATAGTGCACCTAAGAATTTCTCTTATAGAATTAATTTTCATGAACAAAGTAATATTAAGAGTGGAGTACCGTTTATGCACAAGTTATCATTTCTTTCTTTTCTTTTCTTTCTTTTTTTATATATATATTTTTTTATACATTAAAATAAGAAAGAAATAATTTTTATTTCCGAAATACCAGCCAATACTCCTGTTTTGTCAGCGTTCTTTACATATATCTTAAAATGTTGGTGTCAAGTATGAATAGAGTATGTGTGGTAGATAATTGAGAGTAAACAATAAGTATTCTAAAATTTATTAGATACGCTAAACTATAAATATTATTATTTGGAAAAACAAATTCTACTTGCTTTTTGTTTAAATTTTATTATTATTACTATTATTATTATTATCATTATCATTATTATTATTATTATTATTATTATTATTATTATTATTATTATTATTATTATTATTAATATTATTATTATTATTATTATTATTATTATTATTATTATTATTATTATTATTATTATTATTATTATTATTATTATTATTATTATTATTATTACTATTATTATTCTTTCTTTTCTATTTTTACGAGAATGTATGTGCAAATTGAAAACATTGAAGTAATTGATCTGGATATAAATGAAAAATGCTTAATAGTCACTCCACTCTATATTGATGCTTCAGCAGCAGAAGATTGCATAAAATATTTTTTATTTATTATTTACGGAGCATCGAATGAATTGTACGTAATACCGATTTATAATTAAACTAATATACATTTGTTTAAAAATTTAACTCTAAATTCAGTGAATATGTGTGAGTAGGTTGTGACTTTCTTTGAAATTAGGTTAGTATAGGAAAAAGCAATGTTTATGTAAATATATCATTTTCATAATTTAAAAAACTCAGAGTTCCAGTTCGCTTTGGCATTGTGAATAAGCTTAACTTATAGAATTTTCTTACTTGTTCGATGAACAATAAAATTGAAAATATTATTGAATTGCAAAATAATCAATGTGAAAATAACATGATTAAAGACGAACTGTATATTTGGGTTTTTATTCCGAAGAAGTATACCCAATTTTAAAGAAAAATTAATTCTTTGAATAGCTTCCTAAGCACTTGCTATGGATAGGATACTTGAAAGACTTTATATGTTTATTTAAAGACAAGACTGAAAATAATGTGTATAAAAATCAATTTATCGAGAGATTTTTCAAGAACAAATTTTCTTTAACTTTTGCCTGCATCAATTTATAACATAGTAGGTTGACATAGTATAATACTACATAATATTACATTAATGCAGTATAATACAATATAGTATAAAATAGTATAATATAATACACAGTATGCTATGACACAGTATAAACAGATCAAATAATTCGCGATTTCATACAGATTAAATAATCAGTGTTTATCAATTGAACTTACATTACGCAAAACAAATGTATATGACGTAACAACTCATCTTGTATTTCTTTAAAACATATATATTATGTTATTAGATTGTAACAAATGTTGAGAGAAAGATTTATTTGTATATCATGATTCTAGAGTATAATTTTATGTTCTCAAAATAAGCATACTTTTGCCAAGATTGTTAAGATGCGTTTAGATCAATCGCGTTAATATACATGGTAATCGTGCAGGTCTGCAAAAACAGTTGCGAATGTTGCAAACCTTTTTAATGTAGGTTATTATTCGCGCACTTGCGTACGATGTATCTGCAATATTGATAATTGTATCAAGCGATTCGGCACGCTTTCTTCTGAGCGCACCTTCATATGTTTTAACAGTACTTCCTTATGTTCGTAAAAAGTAACAGTGGCAGTAAGTGATAAATTATTTTGTACAGTAGCAACATAAACCAAAAAGTATTTGATTTTTTTCCTCATATGCTGATTTACATATGTGGTTTTAAAATAAAAAGAAAAAAAGAAAAATACAATGCGCGTTATTTGTTATTATGCAAATGAAATAATTAGAACAAAAAACGTTTTAAATAGCAAATAAAAGCATTGGAAATTGTCAAGATTTATCGTGAAGATTAATTTCAGTTTCATGCTGAATGTATGTATTAGAATTAAATTACTCCCATTCTCAATCTGCTTCTTTGATGGTGTTTTATCAATAGATCCAAAGTGTCTAGTTGTGAAAATATTTTAAATTAAATACACTTTTTGGTACATAAATTATTTAGTTTTTGCGTAATATTATCTGATACTTCCCATTTTCTGTTTATCTACCTGTCCATAGCACGAACAAGTTTTCCTTTTATCATGATATATCATACGTTATCGAAGTACGTTGTCTTCAGTCGAATCGTGTTCTCGATAGATAATAATTTATTTCTCTCTACGAGTATTTTTCGAACTTGATTTTTTGATACTATATATCGATAACACTTATGTGTAATACGATAAAAAAAAAGAAAAAAAGAAAAAAAAAAAGAAAAAAAAATATCTATATATAAGATAAGGTTTAGATTAATCATTCAGTTGTATATATAATTAATCTAAGAATATTTAAATTTACATTACGAATATCTTCCCTTTTTTAAAAGTAAGATCCTATCTCTGAAGATATGTATTGAAGCATATTTTTAGATTAAATTAAGTACCATTTAAAATATAATTAATATCGCGCCATCAGATATACATACATATATAAATGAAAACGTTTCTGCAATTAGATAGAAATCTTATGAAGTTTCTTTATCCAGAAGATGCATTTATATAACAGTATTTATATTTCATTGTTCTCATCCTGATATTAATTTCATTCATAAATATGTTATTTTGTATAAAAAAAGAAGGAAGAAAAATCTAATATTATAAATTAAATCGATTAAATCGCAACTTAATTTACGATACGTTAATGAAAAATGCGTTATGTGTAGTCAGGCATTTAAATTATATATAACGAACCTCAGTTTCGTGGAAGACAGCGATATAATTATTATTTACTATGGAATTTCGTGCAAAGTCTGAAATTTTATCGACGAAAAATACTGTTCGTTATGTAAATTTAAAAAGAAAAAAAAAATATATATATATACATATATATACATATATGTGTATATATATATATATGTATATATATATATATATATATATATATATATATATATATAAAACGTATATATATATATATATATATAAAACAAAGGCGCAAAATGATTCTTTGATTTTTTTAATCCAAAACAAACAAAAAATTAAAAAAGAATGCATACGTATGATAGGCAAAGAAAAAAAATGTTTAATGAAAAATTGAAAATTGAATCGTGCATTAGGAATTAAATACCGTAAGATATAATTAAAATATTAAACAAAAAAAAAACAAAAAATAAATAAAAGAAAAAAACAAAGAAGAAAGGAAATAAAAACGCGCGCCTATTTGTCCCGTTGCAAATTTTGATTCTGACGTGTACATCGATGTACGTTTTTATATATAACGATAGATAGCCATTTTCGTTTGTGGCTGTGTTTAATAAGTAATTTATTAAATGTTTATTAATGTTTATTAAACAGACTTATACGTGTATTTTCTTCACCACTACTATGCTTAGAAATGATCGTTCTCGAAGATGATATTATTATATCCAATAGGAACATGTAACTTATTCTATCAAAAACTTGTACATATACTTGGTATATATATTTGAGTAAATATGTCCAAAAAGTTTCGTTGTTTTCAAAATGTAATGAAATTGCCATTTATATTCGTTATACCGTAGTATGATTTATCGTTGCATTATCCAAATTTCTTTTTATACTCTCTAATTCTTTTATATCCGATATCGATGTTTCACACTTATAAACAACAAGAGAATGATAAAAATGGACGGCAAAAGCTACGAATACTATAAGTACTGGTATTACTATAATAGTACTGGCAGTAGCAGCGGTGAAGGAATAATCCCAAAATTTGACCCAACAAAGTATCGCTACTTCGACCAAAAATAAAAATAATCCTAAGACCGTTGAAAATGCCCAGGCCAATTCTATAAAGCCACGCATTCTTTCGTGTGGGGATTCTGTAATGAGACGCGATATTTGTAATTTACTGATAGCTTCGACGTTCGGCAAAAGATATGTGCTTATCATTAAAGCAAAGATGTGCACCGATACTAATACCGTCGTGCAAACCGCAAACATAACAAACAGCCATTCCGGTACCGCAGTTGGATCATTTATTTGTAGTTCTACCATTGCGACCTGAAGCATAAAAATAATATACAAATTTAGTACGATCAAGAAAAATGACTAAGAAAGACGCAATATCTTTATGACATTCCTTGATATATTTTGACTTTTTATCAATTTCTGATTTCTTAAATTTATATTTTTTTACGATATTTGCGATACGATTACTGTGTGAACGTCAATCTTTTTATGATGCCGTTAAGTAGAAGTTTAATCGCACAACGCTATCTTTTTTTAATTAGTCGATTGGAGGATGAATTTTCAACGTGAAATAATTCTCGCGCAAAAATATATAGAAGAAAGCTGTGTTTGTCTTGCATAATCAGAGATCAAGCTTGAAGATCATACATGGAATTGTCGTTGATGTTGATTTAATGATTTTCAGGAAACGTTGTGTAATCGCAGGCAGACTTTGTTCGTGGTAACATTTTTCAACGATTTCTATTTTCTATGATATAAGGTAAATGAATCGAAAATCTATCATTACGAGGGATTTACTATGAGATCATCGTAGAAATGACAAATGAGAATGTTAAGAAACGCATAGCTATATCAATGTTCGTATTATCCATTCGATCTTAGCTCACCATTGCGAAACCACTTAAAAGTTCGGACGTTGTCGCGGTTGCCTTTAGTTTTGCTCTGCTCATGTGCAATCTCCTCCAGGAGAGGCTTTGTGGTCCATCATGTTCATTAATCGAAGGAGATGTAACGAGAGGTACATTCGTTTGAGAATTTTGTGGTCCGTTGCAAGAGCAACAACACGTGTTGCACGGTTGTACGTTACCTCCAAGTGTGTAATTGTTTGAATTTGAAGGTAGATAAAGATGCGAGGGAGGAGTTCCTACAACGTTAGATCGCATGTCCAACGTGACATATTTGCTGGCTCTGTTCCTAGCTGATAATATCAATTCGCTTTGGGTCGAGCAAAAAGTGTTATTCTTCGGATTGTAAGTGGAAAAATTAGATTCGCTTATCTGATACTGACTGTGCTTTGGCAAATGCAACGTAGAAGTCGAACGTTGTTGCTGCAATCCACCGTAATAAGATTTATGCGAGAGACCATAAGAATGTCTCCAATTTGAATGAGTGATATCACTTTGCGTCGATTTATTCGATTTACCGATTATAAATTCATCCGCGCAATTTTTCCCGCGCTTCTCGTCTTCGAAATGATCGAGACTCGCGCTTTTCGATTTAATCGATTCGATTGATTCCGAATTATCTTGCGACATGACGCTATTTTCCTTTAACTTTGAATTCTCGCACATTATTCATTTCGCACACTATCACTTTATCGAAAGATTTCTATTCGTAGTGAATTCGGCGCAATCCAGACGCAAACTGAGAGGATCTTTACGACTACCTCGCGAGCGACTACCAGACAGATCGCTGAAGTGGATACTACGTCATGATGTACCTCTGAATCATAACAATAGTATTAATCGTTTTCAAGCTATGTCGATCGCATAATAACCGAGTACGCCGATCCTCCTCCTCCTCTTCCTTTTTCGCTCTCCTCCGTTCTTATCCTTTTATCCTCGGAAATGAAAAATAGAAATCGACTACTCATTCGATTTTGACGAATTCGAAGAAATGTATCTCTACATAAGGAAATTCATTGTCATTAAGATTTTTCACGTAATTTTTTATATGATTGACTTAAATAGATATAGAAAGCTGGAGAGAGAAAGAGAAAAAAATAACGAAGGCTGTTTGTATTCCAACCAAGCGTTTTCTACCTACCCCGAAGTAAATAGCACGTGTTGATAAATACATGTTCGAAGAAAATATCGCTTTATTATTTATGGAAGGAGAATTGCCTTGTCCGTAATTTATGTTACGAACATTCGTACGTAATCGCTCAATTTTCGTGCGATGGAAGAATACGAATCATTTCTTAACGTCTATCATAAAGATAATAAAACATGGACGATTTTCAAATCCGTCCAAAATTTTCCATTGTTAGAAAAGATTACTTACATAAGCACTTAAATTTTTCTAAAAGGAATTTTCGATGGAAATTCGAACTATGTAAATATACCCGTAAATGTAAATGCAAATGGAAAGGTCTCGCACATTTCCATATAACTCGCATTCGTTGACCTTTAATAAGCTAGCTATGCAAACAGGTCTTTCCAGGTTAATTACAAGCCTGCAATATTTTGTAATGCTTCAAAATTCCATTTCCATATCGTGTCATTCTGTAAAAATTTCTTTTCCTATTAACTGAAAAATTTGATTGCCACACGTGGAACGAGAATTGCGTACAATTAAAGTTAAATAAAAAATATAATTCATCGGTCGAATTACATGAACGTAGCTTGAGTTAAACTTAAAGTGCACAGTTTATTTGTCCTTGTGAAATTTGTACGTAATATTTGAAACGTAATATTTGATTATTTGCTCGAATGCATTTTAGCACTTTCGAAATAGAAGCTTACTGCGCGTATACATAACGTCATCAATTCATGCAATATGATACACAAGAAGTCATTAATGATAGTTATATCTATTAAAAAAATTAATGATCATTAACGATATTGATATTTGAAAAGGAAATCTGTATGTACAAAACTAAAAAAAAAAATGAAATTTGATTCCTCGGATTAATATATTTGAGGTAGCTGTTTATTGGCGGGAATTTTTGTATTTCTAATCGTTTAAAATATTTATAAATTAAGGTTGGCAACACTGGTCAATGTAATCCGAGTCGAAATGTTGAACGTACATTACGTTTCTAATATATGACTGTATGTATGTCAAAGTAACGCAATAATCATCAATTTATTTATTCTCAAAGTTTTGTGAACAGTTTTTACTTTAACCGTGTGTATGCAAAGCGTTAAAGTAACTGAACGCACTTTTATCAAAAAATATTTATTTAGAAAACGTCGTAGAAGAGAGAACGACAACAAATTGCTAGTAGTTAGACGATCTTTCGAGAAAAGTGAAATTTATATAGCAATGCAAGCGAAGGTTATACTCGGACAATAACAGAGGGGACAACATTTAAGCGTCTTTTTATTGTTCTTTACAATTGTATTTTCCTTTAATGTTTTAACACATTTATATCATCTGACATTATTGATATAACCTTACAAAGAACTTGTGAAGGTTAGCGTCTCTGTGAAACGAAGTGGAAGATAAACTCACATTTCCTATTGTTCTTCTTTATAATTTTTAACCTTAAAGATTATTTTCCAATAATAATTTTAATTCAAGCTCATATTTTGTATACGTCATCGCTATAAAATTAAACTTGGAACATAAAAATTAAAATTTTTCACTTTGTTATTCCAAATGACAGTAAGTAACCTATCATATTCAAGGAAGCCTTTAGAATAATTAACTTGTATCGTTATTTGTAAATTATAGATAGAAATATCATATTTCGAATTTTATTTTTATACATTTATGTTTGTTATAAATTAATGAAAATTCATGAAGTATAGATATTTGTAAATTACTAATAAATTTTTTTTTTTTATATAATAGAATGCAATGGGAGGTACACATCTGCATAGTTCACCATCGATATTTCAACACATGATAATACAACAAGGTACTTCTCAGCAAGTAGGTTCTTGGACACAAATGCCCCAAGTATTACCTTTATCTATACCTTGGAGTGTACCATCGGTACAACAATCTGAATTGATCAGATTTACCGGTGAACAAAATGTTACATCTAACCTACATCAGAAAAGAAAATTAGAGACTCCGGATTTACTTGACATGTAAATTTTCATTTTATTATTTCTTGAATAAGAGATTTATTGTACAAATAAACTAATATGAATAATCTGTTGATCCAACAGCAGAAAGACAAAACAATTAATAACCGAAGAAAAAATGGCTGCACATTTTCAAGATTTACATATCAGTTCTACTTATCATTCGCAAGATCCTGTACCATCTACATCAACAGCAAATACTCCACTTGAAAAATCCAATGTAGGGATGGATATGGAAACTGCTAATGTCGTTGATACTGATAATTTAAAGAGTCCAAGATTAATTTTATCCGAAGAATTGAAGCGAATACAGCAAGAATCCATTCTTCCATCGACTCTTCTATCAAAATTGTAAATTTACTATAAGATAGATATTCATATATCATTGATATATAAATGTATAGATTTTAGAATAGTTGTTTTTATTTTACTGTTTTTTAGGGAGAGGCCCTCCATGGCATTAGTTCTTTGGGAACCACCAAGTAAACATCTTCGTATTTTACCTACAAGAGATACTCCAACGCCAGTTCCAAATACGTCAGATGACAATAATAATAACAACAACAACAACAACAATAATAATAGCGATGGTATACCTGATTTAAATCAAACAAGTTCATTTGAACCAATGGAATTATGAAAAATATATTAAAATATTTCTAAATTTTGAACAAACTAATGCATCAGAGCATATTTTTAGCTCTGTAAAAAATTTTAATTAAGGTTCATTGTTGAACTCGACTATATGCAATTAATTGCTCTTGTTTAAATAAACAAAAGAGTGTATGTTTATACAATAAGATAATTTGAGTTTCAACTACATCGTTGATTACTTATTGTGATAAAATAAGTGATGCAGTTACATGACTAGCATTATTTTTTTTTATCTTTGTCTCTTTGGTTCTTATTATCTCATTTTCTACACACCTTTTATAATTACATATACACGCGCATATTATGGTTAATAGTTCATATTCATTTAAGAGCTTTGCATAAATTTTTGAAATGAAAAAATCGAAGTATAATATGGTCTGTTTCATCTTAACAAACGCATTAAACATATCTTTTAATACATAGTTCCTTTGAAAATAAGTACCATTTGTTTGTTCCTTGCTTATTAATTAATTTCCATGCAATTACATAAGATATAATAAAACCAAGTTGAACGTTAGATAAAATACGCGATAGAATTTCATGTTAGACATTCATACATTACAGATATTCAGCTCTATCATATTTTATTCTTTGTCTTAATTTGATTATATCTATCATCTTATACGATATTTTAATAGTATTCCTATATGCAAATATTAGTGATAAAATAAATAAGTTAAAAAAGTGTGATCTCTTGATTCAAACTTGTTGACTTAATTTGCCATACAGGATAAATAAAAAGTTGTGTGAGCGTGTGCAAATATATATATATATAATATGTATTATATATATATATATATATATAATACATATTAGTTATATATTATAATAAATATATTATATAATAAAAGTATAAGGGTGGCTACTTATAAGAGGAAGTAAAATAATGTAATAGAATAAAGAATATATCAATTTATTTGCATCCGCAAGCGAAATAATTTATACACGATCAATGGACACTCATCAATGAACTCAGAACAATTCGCGTGCAATGACATTTTTTATCAACAGTAAAAAACTTGTTGATAAGCAGTGATACGGTCCGACAATCAGTAGAATGTATAAGGCTGTTCACTAACCCTGGTACTATAATGATTTATGCCATTAATAAGAACAGCTGTAATTCTTGATCGATTTTGATGAACAAAATCTCATTTTAAAGACGAAGATTTAATCTAGGACATATCTTTACTGAATTTTTGAAAAAGCTTTAGTTTCTTTGAAAAAAAGTCGTAATAAAGAATGGTATTCTTCTAGAATAGTTTATGCACAAATTAAAAGCTTTTTCAAACATTCGAAAAAGATATATTTTAGATGAAATCTTTGTCTTTAAAAAGAGATATTTCCCAACAAAATTAATTAAGAATTACGCCTGTTTTCGTTGCCCACGTAAATGCTGCTTTCCACATTTTTTGCATAGAAGTTTTTTACTGTGGCGCTTCTCGAAATTTCCGACAAAAGAGAAGCAGCTAATATCCCCACTGCTGATTTTCATAAACGAGTATCTTTTATGCCAGTGAAATAGCGATTACCTGGTTGTTGGCTGATTCTAGCATATTTTGAATAATTACAAAAGTAAAGAAATGCTTTTCACAATACTCGCACAGAGAAATTATGGTAAATTAATAGGCCAATCTTCGAACAGATTAATCTAAAGAAAAGAATAAAGAAATTCATGTCCAATGTCACAAAGACTGTTACGCGCGAAAAAAAATAGAATAATTTTAATTTAAAATATTCATCCTGGCATTGTTGGCTTTATCTAATATAAGTACACATGGAACATTCCTTAATGTTGACAATGAACGAGTTGGTTTCCTTTTGCACTCCGACCAGTACACATCGATAATCGTTCTTTCTAAACGTGAAAATACTAAATTAATACTTTCGGTAATTTTCCAATTATTTAAACAATCTCCAAGGTACGCGGTATACAATAAACTAATATTTAAACAATTGTACATTCGTTTAATAATTAAAAATACGAAAACGGACGTCAGATTTAGAATAATTATAATATAAAATACTGACACTAAAATTATAATCTCGGGATTGTTGGCCTTGTGCAATATAAACATAAACGGTCCTCCGATTAACTTTGACATCTACCGAGTTAGTTTATCTTTGCACTCCGACCAGTGCACATCATTTCTCTCATTCTAAACGCGGAAAACTTAAAAATTAATACTTTCGATATTTCTTCAATTAATTAAACAATCCTTAATGTATACGGAGTACAATTAAATAATATTTAAACAATAGTACATTCGTTTAAACATTATAAAGAAAGAAACTCGCGACAAACTTAAAATAATTTTAATATAAAATTTCGATACTTCAAAATTTTATCTCGCGGTTGTTGGCCTTGCACAATATAAACATAAACGATCCTTTGATAACTTTGACAATAACCGAGTTAGTTTCTCTTTGCACTCCGATCAGTGCACATCATCACTCTTTTTCTAAACGCGGAAAACTTAAAAATTAATACTTTCGATATTTTCTCAATTATTTAAACAATCTTTAATGTATACTGAGTACAATTAACTAATATTTAAACAATAGTACATTCGTTTAAACATTATAAAGAAAGAAACTCGCGACAAACTTAAAATAATTTTAATATAAAATTTCGATACTTCAAAATTTTATCTCGCGGTTGTTGGCCTTGCACAATATAAACATAAACGATCCTTTGATAACTTTGACAATAATCGAGTTAGTTTCTCTTTGCACTCCGATCAGTGCACATCATCACTCTTTTTCTAAACACAGAAAACTTAAAAATTAATACTTTCGATATTTTCTCAATTATTTAAACAATCTTTAATGTATACTGAGTACAATTAAATAATATTTAAATAATAGTACATTCGTTTAAACATTATAAAGAAAGAAACTCGTTACAGACTTAAAATAATTTTCATATAAAATATTGACACTAAAATTTTAATCTTGGGATTGTTGGCCTTGTGCAATATAAACATAAACGGACTTCCGATTAACTTTGACATCTACCGAGTTAGTTTCTCTTTGAACTCCGATCAGTGCACATCATCACTATTTTCTAAACGCGGAAAACTTAAAAATTAATACTTTCGATATTTTCTCAATTATTTAAACAATCTTTAATGTATACTGAGTACAATTAACTAATATTTAAACAATAGTACATTCGTTTAAACATTATAAAGAAAGAAACTCGCGACAGACTTAAAATAATTGTAATATAAAATTTCGATACTTCTAAATTTTATCTCGCGGTTGTTGGCCTTGTACAATATAAACATAAACGGTCCTTGGATAACTTTGACAATAACCGAGTTAGTTTCCCTTCGTACTTCGATCAGTACACATCATCTCTCTATTTCTAAACGCGGAAAACTTAAAAATTAATACTTTCGATATTTTTTCAATTAATTAAACAATCCTTAATGTATACGGAGTACAATTAACTAATATTTAAACAATAGTACATTCGTTTAAACATTATAAAGAAAGAAACTCGCTACAGACTTAAAATAATTTTCATATAAAATATTGACACTAAAATTTTAATCTCGGGATTGTTGGCCTTGTGCAATATAAACATAAACGGACCTCCGATTAACTTTGACATCTACCGAGTTAGTTTCCCTTTGAACTCCGATCAGTGCACATCATCACTCTTTTTCTAAACGCGGAAAACTTAAAAATTAATACTTTCGATATTTTCTCAATTATTTAAACAATCTTTAATGTATACTGAGTACAATTAACTAATATTTAAACAATAGTACATTTATTTAAACATGAAAAATTCTGAATCGCGCTCGGGACTTAAAATAATTTTAATATAAACTTCTATTACTTTAAAATTTTAATTTCGGAGTAGTTGCCTCGTGTAATATAAACATAAACGCACTTTTTCTCGACTTTGACAGTTCGCGAGTTAGTTTTCTTTTGCTCTTCGACCTGTGAACATCGCGATTCTCTTTTCTAAACGCTAAAGGTTATAAATTAATATAATCGGTAATTTCATAATTATTTAAATGATTAATATTGCACGCGGGATAGTATAGAGTAATATTTAAACAATAGTACATTTATTTAAACATTAAAAATTCTGAATCGCGCGCGGGACTTAAAATAATTTTAATATAAACTTCTATTACTTTAAAATTTTAATTTCGGAGTAGTTGCCTCGTGTAATATAAACATAAACGCACTTTTTCTCGACTTTGACAGTTCGCGAGTTAGTTTTCTTTTGCTCTTCGACCTGTGCACATCGCGATTCTCTTTTCTAAACGCTAAAGGTTATAAATTAATATAATCGGTAATTTCATAATTATTTAATTGATTATTATTGCACGCGGGATAGTATAGAGTAATATTTAAACAATAGTACATTTATTTAAACACAAAAATTCTGAATCGCGCGCGGGACTTAAAATAATTTTAATATAAACTTCTATTACTTTAAAATTTTAATTTAGGAGTAGTTGCCTCGTGTAATATAAACATAAACGCACTTTTTCTCGACTTTGACAGTTCGCGAGTTAGTTTTCTTTTGCCCTTCGACCTGTGCACATCGCGATTCTCTTTTCTAAACGCTAAAGGTTATAAATTAATATAATCGGTAATTTCATAATTATTTAATTGATTATTATTGCACGCGGGATAGTATAGAGTAATATTTAAACAATAGTACATTTATTTAAACACTAAAAATTCTGAATCGCGCGCGGGACTTAAAATAATTTTAATATAAACTTCTATTACTTTAAAATTTTAATTTCGGAGTAGTTGCCTCGTGTAATATAAACATAAACGCACTTTTTCTCGACTTTGACAGTTCGCGAGTTAGTTTTCTTTTGCCCTTCGACCTGTGCACATCGCGATTCTCTTTTCTAAACGCTAAAGGTTATAAATTAATATAATCGGTAATTTCATAATTATTTAATTGATTATTATTGCACGCGGGATAGTATAGAGTAATATTTAAACAATAGTACATTTATTTAAACACTAAAAATTCTGAATCGCGCGCGGGACTTAAAATAATTTTAATATAAACTTCTATTACTTTAAAATTTTAATTTCGGAGTAGTTGCCTCGTGTAATATAAACATAAACGCACTTTTTCTCGACTTTGACAGTTCGCGAGTTAGTTTTCTTTTGCTCTTCGACCTGTGCACATCGCGATTCTCTTTTCTAAACGCTAAAGGTTATAAATTAATATAATCGGTAATTTCATAATTATTTAATTGATTATTATTGCACGCGGGATAGTATAGAGTAATATTTAAACAATAGTACATTTATTTAAACATTAAAAATTCTGCATCGCGTCCGGGACTTAAAATAATTTTAATATAAACTTCTATTACTTTAAAATTTTAATTTCGGAGT